TATAGCCCCAAATCCTTTTCAATACTGTGTTAGCTTGTAGTAAGCCCTAGATATTACATAATTTCATCTGCAAATATTTCAGTATGTACCTCTGAAATATAAAAAGTTATTTTTCTTGAATTATAATCATAACACCATCCTCATAGTTTAAAAAACCAACAATTCCTGAAATGTCATTGAATATCTCATTGCTTTCAATTGGTCGATACGTTTTTTTTGAAGTCTCTTAATTTACAGATTCTACCTTCGTCTCTCTTCTCTCTCTCACCTTGCAATTTATTTCTTGAAATTAAAAAAAAAAAAAAAGGATTAGGTATCCTGTGGAGCCTCCCCAGCCTGGCTGTGGGTTGCATACCCATGGTGTGGTTTGTCGGGTTCCTCTCTCCACTGTGCTTCCTGCAGTCTGAGAGTTGGAGCTCGAGGCTGGATGCCATTAGGGTGTGGAGGCAGAAGAGAGGGCGACATTACTCCTGGTTGTCTTGGTTAGCAGCCATTGATTTTCAGTGTTTAGATCCATTTGTTAATTAGGGGTTTCAGCATGTTTTATTTTAATTCTATCATTCCTAACAATTTATTATCTGTAATACTTCTACAAGGAAAAAACATGCCTCATCCACTCTTTGGTTACCAGTGATAGAGTTAATATAGGAAGTCAGAATATACATGCTTGATTCTTTCCCTTTGTTTGCCAATTTTCCAAATAATGAGTTGGTTCCTTTCATGCATTTTATTTTACTCATTTAGAAACATTATCCTGAGAAATTCACCAGACTGTTAAGTGGGTTGATGTCACAAGACCGTTAAGAACTCCTAATTTAGACCCTCCCAGGACATGTGGAGGTTAGTTGGAGCTCTTCTCCAGAGTTATGTCAACCGTGGTGATTGCTACTTTCCTCGTCCCCTCACAGCACTTATTCCTCATCTCACGCATTTCAGTGCTGGTGAAATTCCACCTTCTACTGTACTGTGACAGAGACATGTACATAAATCCTACAGTAGCAGGTGTGGTGAAGGGAGAGCATTCATTTGAAGTCAGACGGTCTAGTTCACACATTGACTATGTTGCTCACCAGCAGTATAAACCTAGGCAAATTCTTCACTTATTTGAGCTTCAGTTTCTTCATAAGGAAAATGGCAGAAATGGTATCTAAGTTGAAGAATTGTTTTGGGTAATAAGAGGGAAACCTTTAAAGATTGAGACATCATTGGCCCTCAACAAATATTTATTAAATTTAACTGTTAGTTTCCCCAAATCAGGGGACTTGTTAATTAGATCTTTGGTACTGGCCATAGCAGTAAAGACATGTTTCCCATACTGTGGGAGACCCCTGGGAAGTCTCCATACTCCATACGAAGTTTAGCATACTGTGAAGACCCCTCCTTCTTCCTCTTCCTCTTCCTCTTCCTCCTCTTCTTCTCTCCTTCCCTCTCTGTCTCTCTCACTCGCTCTGACTCACTCTGTCTCTCACTCTTTCTCTGTCTCTCTCTCTGACTCTCTTTTATTCTTTGTCTCTGTCTCTCTCTTCCTTTCTCCCTCACACTCTTCCATACTAATTTCTCTCCTACTGAAGGCACAGGTAACTCTGCTGGAGTCAGAGCTTCTGATTCTGAAATGCTCTGTATAGTGAGCTGTGTTCCACCCACAAAATGGCATCTCTCATCTCTTCCCTGGGTCTTCACTAGGCTGCCCCATTCAAGACCTTTCAACTCAGTTGGCGTCTCACCCACCCCGGGCTTGAAATGGCCATATCCTGTTCTAACCACTAATCCAATTAAAAATATCTGTGCTATGTTTCAGCCGATCCTTACAAGCTCATGCTGCATTTCGTTAGGTTAATCTGAAAAGTCAGCTGGGCCCTCAGAGCCACTCAGGATTCCTTGTGTGCACCTCCCTGGTCAGATTCTTCTTCCATTTCTGAGAGCTGCTACTTCAATCTTCCAGCCACTCCCCTTAAGCTGTCCAATCCATCACATCCTTTCCTTCTCTTTCAGATGACTTGGCTGCTTCTTCTGAAGCAGAGGCGCCTATCAGGATGGTTCCTGTGCTCAGACCCTATGTTCACCCCATCAGTGTCTCATCGATGTCTCATCAATGTCTCATCAATATCTCACCCATGTTTCTCATCCATGTCTCTTACCCATGTCTTCTCAATCTTTCTCGTTGATATCGCATCAATGTTTCATCAATGTCTCTCATCCATGTCTCTCATCGGTGTCCCATTGATGTCTCTCTTCCCCTCTCGGAGGACTCACTGAGGGTGGCATGGTGGACAATTAGGAGCATTTCCAAGTCCCGCAGATGTCAGTTGAGATGTTAACTTTCCTATGTATTAGCTGCGTCCCCTGAGCCTCAGTTTCCTTATTTGTAAATGGGCATTAAAAACATCTCCCTCATCTTTGTTATGAAGAAAAATAACAGATTTTAAGTGTCTAGTGCATGGGGTGAATTGGTGAATGTTGAACAGTTAACACACACTAGCCCCTCTTTCTCCTCGCTAGCTCTCTCCCAGTCTCCATTTTGTTCTTAGGTCTGTTTCCTCCTGGCTCCACAATTATTCTCAATAACGCAGCACAGCAGTGGTTAAAGCCCAGCTTTGAAGTCACACTAGCCTGGGTCCAAATCCCAAAGTTGACGTTTCTGTGTGATTTTCAATTATGAAGAGAGGGTAGGATTATTATGGAGATTAAACAAGATAACAAAGGTAAAAATAAAAAATAGCATAGTGCGTGGTACCTGCAGTGTTTTTAATAAATGTTTGTGGTCATGACTGTTGCTTTTCACGCTCCTGAATCTCCAATACTCCTTGGCCATTGATCCTCCTCTCTCCACCACTTCCAGTTCCTAAAGAGCTGAAGTCTCCTTTACAGAAGCACACGGACGCCCCTCCCCTGCAGCCGCTGCACTTTCTCTCCCACCTTCAGAGCCAAGCCCAGACTTCTGGTTGAGTGCAGAGTCTGTAGTCTTGATCTCTGTCTGCTCTCCTGTCCCCTTCTCACCTTCTCACCAGTGCATCTCTGCCCCACCATCCCACCTCAGGCCCTCTTGTCCCGGCTTACAATGACTTCCTAATGTTCCATTTGGGGGACGTTCACTGACTGGTTTTCTACATCCTTCTAGGTGGCCGATTACTCTTCCTTCCTGAATTCTTTCCTCTCTCAGATCTCCTGAGATGAGCCTCTTGCTCCTCCCTCTCTGCCCACTGCTTTTTCCCCGTCTCCCTGTGGGAGACCATATTTCCCAGATGACACCTTCATCCCTCTTCCCTTTTCCTCTCATATTTTCCCCTCGGCAATCTCATCAACTCTGTGGTTTCAACTACCGTTTCTGACTCCCAAATCATATACCTCCAACCAGGCTATCTTTAATACATCCCAAACAATCGAACGGTCCTCAGTGCTTCTCGTTGCCAAAGGATGAGGTTCAAACTCTTTAGTGTGGGTGGCATTCAAGGCTACTCATGATGTGACTCCTGTCCTTGCTTCCAGTCTCATTTCTGCTACTCCTTCAAATGCACTCTACTCCCTACTAATACCAAAAAAACCCTTGCTGTGTTAAATCCCAATACCTTTCCTTATAACTCCACACATTGGCTAATAACAAATCCTCTGCCTCCTCCACCCTAGTCCACATAGAAAATTCTTACTCAGTCTTTAAGATGCAACCCATGCCCTCTCTTCTCAGCTAAGCAGCGCCTTCTGGAGGCATGGGGGGAGGAAGCGGCGGAAGTAAGATTCTATTCTGTTTCTCAGATGCCATGTCTCATTTCTGCATGGAAGCAGCTCTGGCCACGGTTCTGGAGTCTGTCGCTGGAGTGGATGTAGGAATACAGGCACACACCACAGCAATAATAACAGCAAACACGTATGTGCTCCTCACTACGGGCTGGGAGTGAGTCCATGAGCTGCAGCGTGACTCCCAAGCTCATGCCCTTAACCCCTGTCTACACCTCCTCAAGGACTGAGCTCTGGACATTTCGGGATCTTTCTCAGTCTTGGAGAGCATTTCTCTGACTCTTATTCTAGTTCCCACACAGAAAATTCCAGGCCCTATGACATAAGCCAAGATCTGAGCGCCTTTGTGATCCCATTCATGGTAAGCAAAAGTGAAACATGATCATTTTACAGAATTAGAGACTGGAAAGACCTTCTGATTTCAGAAGAACAATTTTTAAAAATGGATTTGTATGCATAACATCCATGCAGTTGGTGATAGCGGGGTCAGTGACTAATAAAAATGTCATTTCCTGTGATTTTTATAAATTACAGTAAATATGCCAGTAATCACCCACATTAGCTGCTGAAATGCAGGCAGCCATCTGGAGTAGAGGCCAGGGGACCTCACTGAAGCCTCAAGAGGTAGCCCCCACAGGCGCAAAGTGACACCTCGGAAAACAGTAGTTAATACATGCTAGAATTTGGAGAAGGGGAAAGTGTTAAAATAAATGTATGTCAAGCAGACAAATTTGGACTTCTCCACAAGGATCTGTCACGTCAAACAGGAAATAGCTATAAATTACCTGTAATAGTAAAATCTTGTCATTTATAACCTTGAAAGCAACGGGCTCATTTAACACATCAACTCATAGATCATGATCTAGGACCATCAGCCTGGGTATTTGCTTCACTTTTAATGTGCAGAAGGCAGAGCAAACCATGCAAGAGCCACACAAGACCCCACGGCATCCCATTAGCTCTTGGAGCCAGAGAGATGACTGCCCCCGGCCCGGGGTGATGAATATGTCAAGATATGAAAACCCTTTCTGCTCCTAAAAAGAAAATTAAGACGTGATTGGAAAATGTCATGCCTTGGGTAGTCTCATAATGAATAATTCCAAATAAATCCCACCATTATTCTGTTTATTTGTTTTACTCAGAAGCTATTTGAAGTCATTGGAGCTGAAAGTATGTTTCAACCTGCCAAGTGTATTTACTGTATCTTGTAATCATCTTGCTAACCAGTTCACAGGCAAATAATAATTGGACTTCCGTGTTTCTTTCAGATACCTCAATACACACTGCCCAGAGATGAGAAATCCAGCTCAGAGACATTTTAAAGGGGCTGAAATGCCTCCGCTCAAGGGGTCCAGGAGTGCGCTCAGGAAGACGCACGCACAAAGCCACCTTATGCATCATTTGAAGATTCAATGGGAGCTAGGTATTTATGAGAGAGAGACTTACTGATGCTTGCATGCACTGAATAAATATTTGATGTTAGTTGATACAGGGTGGGGGGAAGGTTCTGGAGAGAAGGAAGAGCAAAGAACATAGTCATACACCAAACTAACCACTCGCTTTATAGTGAGAAAAAGCCCTAAGAGTGGGAGCTGAGCATAAACCACACATTTACACACACGGTGGCACCACGAGCTCTAAGGAGGGACAAAAGTGACATTGACTCAGAGGTGCACTACATCCAGAGTCCTGTGTTCTTCTCCCTGGCGTCTCCATACCTCTGTGTTTTCTCCCTGACCCGGACTCAGTCAGGGTCTTCACTCGCTGGGAACAGGAAGTGCTGTGCTTCTGCAACTTGCTACCATCTGGGCAGCACCCGTGAGCATGTGGGGGCGTGTGCACACACGCACATTCCCACACGCATGTGGGCACTCACACACTTCACAGCCTAGAAGGGTATGGCCAAGATAGCGGCCACATTTAGAATCCCTAGGTCAATTGGTTGGGGACCTTTCCCCTCTTTTTTGCTTTTCCACATTCTGCCAAGGTCCACTTCTAGTGGGGCGAAAATTTGCCAGTGTCCGAATGCATGAACACAAGCTAATTTAAAAAAAAAGTTGACTTTAATCTTTTTTTTTTTTTTTTTTTTTTAAAGATTTTATTTTTTCCTTTTTCTCCCCAAAGCCCCCCGGTACATAGTTGTGTATTCTCCGTTGTGGGTTCCTCTAGTTGTGGCATGTGGGACGCTGCCTCAGCGTGGTCTGACGAGCAGTGCCATGTCCGCGCCCAGGATTCGAACCGACGAAACACTGGGCCGCCTGCAGCGGAGCGCGAGAACTTAACCACTCGGCCACGGGGCCAGCCCAAGTTGACTTTAATCTTAATAAGAAGTCAAAATTTAAAAGTTAGCTTCAACTGGTAAGCAGTTTAACTGGTTCCTTGCATTTAACTGGTTACTTTAAAAAATAATTGTTGATCTCTCTGAACTTAGTCCTATTTTCATAATAATGACCAGTTTCCACAGATGGATTAGTGGTTGTTGGTGAGGGAGGAGGAGGCGTTTGGTGACAAGAGACAGTGTACAGGTAAAGAGTTTCGGCACCATTCAGATTACTTAGGCAAAAAGCCTGTAATTCAGGGAGAAAAAGCGATTCTGGGAATAAAATCAACAACCTCCAGTCTGGGCACCAAAACCAAGCCTAACCAAGCCTAACCAACTCTAACCAAGCCTAACCAAGCCTAACCAAACCTAACCAAGCCTAACCAAACCTAACCAAGCCTAACCAAGCCTACACTATTCACGGTACCTTGGCAGACACCAAACGTATGTGAAGTAACACTCTGATTTTCTGGAATCCACATGCATCAACTAAACTGAAGAATCAAGGCTCTTTCTCTGGCCTAGGTCATTCCCAGAAATGCCAGCAATCTACATCTTTAGCCTCGATTGCCAGATTATTACTCATGAACAAATATTTGTCTTTTTGCTTTTTGTGGGTTTTTTTTGGTGAATTGAATGGACAATTGTCTGGAGTCTGTGTGTAACTGTAGAGTATGTGTCGCACGTGTTCACCACATATTATTTGAACATATCGTTATTTTTAACAAAGTTAATTTCCATGGAATAATGGGTAATTTTGAAAATATTTTAGGCAAAATGTTACAAACTCATTATTCGACTCACACTGCTCTGCACGCTGTATTCCTCTGGTTCTCACACACATTTTCAGTCTTATCTCTGGACCCTACAGGCACCATTACCATCAGTGACAACTTACAAGCATAACTGGCAGTTTTTTCTTTCATAGCGGCATATAAAATCAAGATGCATCTTACAATAAATGGCCCCTTAGGCTTGTTGAAAAGAAAAAGTGAATGCGTGTGGTAGTAACTTACAGATAATTTCTGGTCCACATAGTCTAGGGTGGAGAGAAACTGTTTGTGTCAAGGATGAGCTATTCCTCCCTAAGACTTCCCCATGCAGGGACCGTAAATTATCTTCCCAATCTTCACCACGGCTCTTCTGGTTCTAAAAAGTCTTGTATTTCTAGTAGGTGGTTCGCACTAAATTGCAATGTGTATTTGACAGAAGGTTTCTATTGCCTCGTCTATCACCAACTGGAAAAGTGACAAAGAAAAACTCTGGAAGACTCAAAGGACGAAGCGAGGAGCCCAGCTTCCCAATGGGTACGAAAGCTGGTGATGGGTCAAAAAAACAAACGAGTCAAAGTTAGTACTACTGAATGGGGTTTAGTTAATATTTTAAATTTCAAAATGAGCACGCACATTTGCAGTAAAGTGCTGAGCTGAATTTGTGCTTGTTTTCTGGAAACTTTACACGGCAATTATTGTAACGCAGAAAAGACTCCACCACTGACCCCTCGACCTCGCCGCGTGGTATTTCCATCCTGAATTCTTTCTGTTTGTTTCCTTGGAGCCAGAAGTCTTGGAGAGGATCGGGAGTCAATTATAAATATCAGGTTGGTTTGAGGTGGTGCGGGGACAATAGAGAGAAGAGAAAGATTATGTTTGGCTTTTTTAACTTTTAAATGATAAGGATTCCAGACGTTTCCAGAAAAATAGAGGTATTGGCTCTCTGCTCGAACACCTGCTTCTTGCCACAAGCCTGCTGGCTTGGGGAGCACACAGACACATATGCACACGTACATGGAGTGAATGTCTATATTCCCTTTTTTTCTGGCAGAGACATCATGTAATGGCTGAGGTTGATATTGCTTCCCTTTCGGCCCTGTGCTCTTCACCTCCTCTCACCCTTCCTGGGAGCATTACCTCGCCGTCCTATATGTGCCATTTAAAGGGAATTACCTATTACTTCCATTATTTGTCCCTTATCAACTGATGTTACACTACAAGGATTTGCATTGAAAGCACACAAAGAAAGAGCAAGTCATGGCACATCGCCAAATAAAAGAGTAATGTTCTGGTGAATTTAGCCTAAATAATTTACTGCTATATAAAAGTGGAAAAGTGGAAGGTGAACCCTTTGACCAATAAATCTCTCCTGTGCGTGAAACCCTTATCTGGTCCCCTCCAACATATTCCACACGAGGAAGCCATCATCATTGGCTCTGGTTTGTTATTTGTAAACCTTGATCTTCTGCACTTGGTGTCCTAAATATGGATAATTAGCATCAGTTTATCACGCTTCTGCATATTTTCTCTCCTCTCCAAACATGCATGCTTCTATTGGCTGCCATTCTGCCACAGAAGATTATGGAGACAGATTGCAGAGAATGAATGTGCTAAACGAGATTAGGAAGGAATAGAAATAGCAACTTGGCCAATAAATTCCTCGTGAGAGCCTTATCATACAATTACACGTTGACTTGTTTCACACTCTCCCAGCCTCTTAATCCAACACCCCCACCAAGAATAAAATTTCACTAATTTCTGAATTACTGCATATCCTCCTGACTTGTTACCGAGAATGGCTGGAAGGAGAAACACGGCTGAAAACAACACATCAAACTTCTCAATAAAAAATTAAACTTTAAATCTTCAAATGGGCGGTATGAATTTGGGATGTTGAAAGCGTTTTAGCATCTACAAATGAGTGCACAAAGCCTGGCACAGAGAGATGTTTAACTTCTCTTTTAAATTCTCTCCATGCGCCACCTTTGGGGGCTCAGCGTTGTATGAAGGGGAGAGTTACCCTGCTCTTCAACAGAGCTATCTGATGTGTTTTAAAACAGGATAGAGTAGTCCCTTATTTTCTTCTCATTATTCTGGAGGACAGTCACAATGTCCCTGAGTACTTCCAGGCACATCACTTGACCGCTCTCGTACAGTGTCCTCACTCAAACAGGCTGTTTCACATGTTATAGCTTCTTACGCATATTCACGTCTACACACGAGAATTCTCGCCCACTCCCGGTCTCCTGAGAGTGTAACCAAGAAAGCTGTCACCAGGCATCCACAGGGGTACTCTGCCCTCCTTCCTTCCCCCTTGTTCTCCCCAAGGCTTTATAACAAGTTTGGGATTTAAAGAGGCCCGTTAAGACAAAAGCAAGGTGCTGCAGCACAGAAAGCCCTGCAGGACCGAGGTAATGCTTCCAGAAAGCGATGGAAATACAGATCAAGTCATAAAAACGATATCTTGGTGCTTGCAGAAGAGGAAAGGCTTCCAATTCACGGTGAGAAGAATTAATTAGCTAAAGAAATTCATAGCAATTGCAAAGAGAGTTTTTATGCACAGATCACCATGTTGCCTTCACTTTCTTTTCTCCAAGTCACGTCTATCAGGATTCACTGGAGAGGGCCTCATGCACAATCGGAGAAAGGATTCCATGCTTCAGAAGACCTGCTCCTACTCTGAGTTCAGAGACATAACTGGACAACGTCGTTCAACAAACAGGCACTGTCTCCTATGCACCAGGCACTGTTTGCGATGGTGGGGTGTAAGAGCACCAAGAAAGAGCCTGCCCTGGACGCGGTGACAGCCATGGATGCTCATATGTCTTGACTTGACGGTTGATGAGTAGTATGGGTTTGCCTTCCGCAAGCTAGCAGATCTATTGGCTGCCAAGGATTTCCTTTTTTGGAGAGAGCGCCAGCCTACAACCTCCTTCCCTCCATCTATGCAATAGGGAGAGAGACCGAGGGCCTGTCAGGAAGCCCCGGGAGGCTCCTGTGTGAGGGGCACAGACTCTGTAGGAAGAAGTAGCTCAGAGACGGCCTGTCTTCCTGGAACCGCAGCCACAAACACATGCCATATGGTGGCAGCTGCAGCTCCAACAGCGTTTGCACTCGAGTCCTAAAGTCATCTGTCCAGAAAAAACAAACACATCTTAATGTCAGAGAAGTTCTGCTTTCCCTGCATCCTTCTTCTTTCCAAAGCCACTGAAATCAAGGGATCCAGGGTTGGGGGACAGGCTCCTGCTGAAGTGGGTGAGGGCAACCTAGAGAAGGGATGGGACTGGTTTGTTGTTCTGTTTCCTTAAGGAAATGTTCTGGAGGCCTTGGAGCGCTGATTCGGGGGCTCAGGTTTGGCTTCATCGAACTCCTCCACTCAGGCAAGGTGCACAGCCAATTGTAAATAAGTCCCCAGGCCTGAGGCTCCCCGGGGACTTGGGGCTTGCAGCTCAGCTATGAGCTGGGGGAACCTCCAGCCAAAATATGAGACAGATGAGTTGTTATTAAAAACGGTCCTCCCTCCGCTATGTCATATTTCCTGAATCGGTGAGCTAAGTTGAAGGGGGCGGTGAGAGGGAGCCGTTTGCCATTAATCTGGGAACAAACGGCTAACCTCGGTGACTGGTATTTTCGCTTTTCTTTTCTCACTTTTCTCAGTGCGGGGAGCGGTGGAGCCGCGCAGCGCGATTGTGAGGGGCTCTGCTGGAATTTGGCAGCGCGGAGGCTTGGAGAGCAGCCCCATGCTGGCTCCTATTCAGCGGGCCAGTTTTCCTCGAGCTTTGGAAGTTTCACTCAGCCGTGCACTCAATGGCTTCACAAAGCTGATTACAAGCTTCAGCGCATTCCTGAAGGAGCCAAAAGCGACGCAGGTGCAAACGAGCCGAGGGAGCCCCTTATCCCGGTGACAGAATGGGACAAGCTGGGAAAGGCTTGGACCACACAAATCCAAGCTCACCAGGCAGCAGAAAGCCTGCCTTGGGAACCGGGGGTCATTATCCGCCCTATTCAGCGGGGCCCGGGGACCCTGGGGGCCAGGGAGGCCGGCCGGGCGGGAGCTGCCGCGCCAGCGCGCGCCCGCGGCGGTGGGGACCCCGCAGGGCCCTGCGGCCGGCCCGGGGCGCTGGGTGGCGGGTTGTGCGTTTGCTCTGGCAGCGCCAGTGAAACCCGTGCCCCGACGGGCCCCTGTCAACACCAGTAGGGACATGGGAGAAAGAGCGCGCAGGAGGCAACCGGGTGCCTGGACCGTGCGCAACGTTTGTTCATCCAGCATCCCTGCCCCTGCCCACGCTGGCGCTCCGGGTCCCCGCCGGGCCCCTGGGCCACCGACACGCAGCTCCGAGGGTCGCTCTGTCCCCTCTTTCCCCCAGCCCCCCTTTCCTGTCCGTCTCGTGGTAACTGGGTCGGTGGAGAGCCAGCCCGACGCGGTGCGATGGGAGGACAGCGACCGTGCGCGGGGAGTAGGGGCGGCGGGTCTCGGGACCGCCCCGGCGAAGCGCACTCGGCTGGGGCCGAGGACACCTTTGCGGCGAGTCTGATTCCGCGACGGGAAGGAGGGTCGGGCCTCTGCCAGGGAGTGAATGACGTCCCCTGCTCGCGTTGAAGGACCGACAACCCCGGGCTGAGGGCGGTGAAGAGAGAAGGCAGCGCCGCGGGGAGCGCGCGGGAAAGGAAGGTCGAGGCCCGGGAGGGGATCTCGGCGTAGGAGGCACGCCAGGCGGAGGGAGCTGGCACGCGGGGGAGGGAGCGCGGGGGGCGGAGCTGGTGCGCGGGCTGCCCCCGGGACCCTCCTGTGGCGCGTGGGGAGCCCCGCGCCGCGTCCAGACAAGCGCAGCGCTCGAGTCCCTGCGTGGGGTCGGCGCCCGGGCTCCCCTCCTGCGCGCCGTCCCACCCTGTGCTCCCTGGGCCTGGGCCCTGCCCGCCGCGCGCTGGGCCGGGCTGCGTCCGGGGGTCCCCGCGGCAGGGCGCGGGCAGGGCGCGGGCCGGCAGGGCGCGCACGCCGACGGTCTTTTGTCTGATAACTAATTTGAGTTAATGCGATCTTTATGTAAAGCTAACAGCGGATAATTGTCTATTTTCTCGCCAACAATCTCCATCACAATCACTTATCTGGAAACCTGCGGCTGGATTAATCGTTATATTCCCGAGATAAGCGTCGCCGCAATCCGCAGCGAATAAGGGTGAGGACATGAAAAGGCCTCCGCCGCGCTTGCGGGGCGGGGCGGGCCAGCCTGGCTACTGCCGGCGACCCCGTGTGCCTGGGGTTGGTGCCCGCGGGCGTGGCTGCTGGGTGCATTCTCCAGAGCTGGCTTTTGCTCAGATGGGTGGCGCGGGGCTGCAGGAGGCAGAGGGAGGAGGAGGGGGAGGAATGAGGCTGGAGAGGAAGCGGGAGGAGGAAAAGAAGAAAGATGGAGGAAGAAAGAAGAGGAAAGTGGAGGAGGTGGAGAAGGGAGGAGGACCAGGGGAGGAGGAGGGGCCCCGCGGGGCTGCAGGCCGGGCGCAGCCTGGGTCTAGTTGGGCCTGAGGAGGCCCTCGGCACACCGTGACGCGGGCTCCGGGTCCACGCGGCAGAGGCGCTGTCAGTGCCGGAATCAAGTCTTTTGATCTGGGAGACAGGATGCCACCCCACTATTTTATTTTCTCCAGAAAAGGCTCGCTCCCTCCGTCTGGATTCCTCTAGCTTAATCCCCTGGTCCACTCACCCGCCCTGCCTTAGGTCCCTCCCGCAAGATGCCCTCCTCCAGGGTCCGCATCTTTGCAAATTAATGGCAATATTTACACTCCCGTCAGTGAGATCCCCTAAAGAGAAAACCCTGGTGTGGAGCCCCGGACCCAGTGCCGCAGCGCCCACCGATGGCTGATGGAATCGAGGCCTGTGGGGAAAAGGCAGTTGTAGGGCGACGATTTTGACTTTCTGAGCTGAAGTCAAAAAGTCGGTGTCAAATGCAAATCCGTGTGGGGGTGGAGGGGCCGCGCGTGTGACTTTCTTGTGCACAATAAAGTGTAAAACGATTGACTTCTGAAACCAAGCAACGCGTATGGTGGTGACTTGGAAGTAACCCATTTGATTCCATTGACTTCCACGACCCAGATTTGCTGGCCGAGGGACCACCAGAGCAACTTTCCAAAATAGTGTTTCTGGAAAAGAGCAGATTCAGTCTCAATTCGTGACAGTTTTTGGCCACATAGAATGAAACTGTTTCCCTTTTGGCAGTTTAACTCTGAAACTTCTAAGAGTAGAAGAATACAGTGAACTGAAATGCCACCAAAGTATTGGATTTTTAGATAAAGGAGGACCCCAAATTATCCCCAAAATAGAGCATCGTAAATTCCTGTTAAAATCCTTGTCTTCAGTTTTCCCCTCCAGCAACTTGATGAGGTCTCTAGAAGCAAACAAGTGAACGGCCCTCCCGGGTCCGCTAGCCCGGCTGCGACCGCCTTTCCCAGGGCCGCTTTTTGTTGTGGCATTCGGGAACCATCCCACTTCATCTCTCACCTGAATCTTGTCATCTCGGCCATCTTGAAGTGATCTGGGAACAATGCTGGTCCCCGCGACAGACCCGCTGGTCAATCAGGCAGAACAGACTATGCAAATGGCGCGGAGAGGCGAAGCGCCCGGAACACTGGCTCCCATTGTCTCTGGCGTTTCAAAGCGCGGAGCAGCTGCGCAGACTTGTCGCCCCGGACCCTCGGTTGCCACACTAATGTCATCATTGCAAAACATCAGATTTTGAAAACTATACAATCTGAATTCATTAGCAGCCTTCTCGGCAAAGGCTTCTCTTCTCCATGACAAGTTTCAAACTCTTGATCCCCTGGTGTGGGGAGAGGGAGGGGGGCGAGCTTTGCAAGTGACAACTGGTGATGATCCGTAATTTCCTCTTTCTGGTGGATTCACAAACTTTAAAACCCGTGCTTGGAGTTCCGAGCCCGGCTGTCTGACTCCAACGACGCGGAGATTTCCAGGTTTTCGCGGTTTCTCTCAAGTGTTGCTTGCAAGTTTAGATTCCCTCAGAGCAGCCGAGGTACCGAGTGGAGTGAATTTAACAAGACACCGTCTGACGTTTGAAGGATAACGCCGGGGAGAGGTTTTGAAGTTATTTTCTTTCGATTGAACTCAAAACCATCGACAGCAGAGCAGTTTCGGCCCTAAAGCAAACGAGCTAGTGACGCGCGGGGCGCCCCTGGGCGCGCCCTCGCCAGCGGGCCGGCACCTCGGCTGCCCGCGGCACGCGCGTCTCGGTCACACAATTGCTCCCTCGGTTTTGCCGGGCTCACCACGCTTCTGCCTCTCCCTTGCCTCGCGCCCCCACCCCCCGTCCTCCAGGGTGACCTCGTTTTTCTAGACCTTCGAAGGCAGGAGGGATGCGCTTGGTGCCCGCGGCCGCGGCCCTGGGTGGGGGCCGAGCGCTGGGTCCCGCCCCGGCCGCACCTGCGGGCGCGGGGAGCGCGTGGCGCGCGGGCCGCTGTGGGGTCCGAGGGCGGCAGAGGCCGGCGGAGCTGAGCCTCCGGGAGGACCCGGGGCGCCTGGGAAGGCCGCATTCCTCTCGGGTCAAGCTTGTGTTCTCCTCTGCTCCCCTGAGCTGCGTTGACGTGTCCTCCTTCTGCTTCTTTACAGCACTCCGTCTCCACTCTCCTCTCCCTACTTCGTCCGTGGGCTGGAAATTTTTCCCAGGAGAAGGCAGTCAACACGGAGACGGGCACCAGGCCGGTTCCTAGCCCGGAGCTGAGAATTAAGCGTCGAGGTTGAAGGCTGCAGAAGGCCGAGGTCTCCCCAGGGCCCCGTGGACTCTCCGGTTCGCCCCGAGGTCTCCCCAGCAAGCTCCCAGGCCTCCACCATGTGCCTCGCAGCCTCTGGAGGTGCTTTAGTTTTACCTTGGTTTCTTGACAAACTAAGGGATCAGGATTTGGAAGGAGAACGGAGCCAGATATTGTTTTCGTAAGCACAGCAAGCAGAACAGGGAAATAAACAGAGAAAAGGCCCTATAGGGTGTCTTGTTCGGTTGGGGTAAAGATGGAGGCCTCCGTCTCAATCCAGGAAAAGCCGTAGGCAGGCTCTTTACAAATATGGACACCTTTGGGGGAATTGAACTAGAATACCTTTTTTCTCCCCAGAAAATTGTATGATTTAGGCCTGGACCCTGGGTTGCTCTTGAAGTCTCTGCAAGTCTTGCACCCGGGCCTGGCCTTGGGGAAGAGAGCCTCTCCAGGGCCCGCCCAGCGCCCTGTGCGCCCTGAGCCAGCCATGGCTGGGGAGGCGTACTGTGGAGGTCCTGGTTATGGTGGGTGGGCACACAGGACAATGTCAGCTCCAGGGAGACGGCGTTGTTGCCAGGTGGCTCACCATGTCTCTCCAGGGTGTAGACAGCTCCTGGTTCATTGTAGGTGTCCAACATATGTTTGCTGAAAGGCTGAAAAGGCCCTTGCCACGGTGGAGCTGCTGGCCTGGCAGAGTGGACCACAGCAGGGCCAGCGCCCTGGGGGCTGGGGAGGGGGTCCTGAGCTTGCCTCCCTCCCCTTCTCACACACGTTCAATCTTACGCTCGCCGTGCATGTTCTTACACACACACGATTCACGTGCTATGCACTCATGCACACTCACACAAATACCCAGAGTCTCTAACACACACAGACGCATGTATGCAGAGACATACACACATCCACTGTCACACGTGAGTGACACGCAGTCACACACACACCATTCCCCTGGGGGCCCGCAGTCACAGGCTGGCTGAGTGCTGGCGGCGGCTTGTGCCTGGCTCCTCGGGAGGAGAAGTCAAATAGGTCAGAGGAATATTCTCTTAGGTACACACACGTGGGTGAGGGATCCAGTCCTCCTGGGAATTCAACAAATGCAGCAAAAAAGTGACATCAGTGCAGCACAGGGCGGTTACTTCTGAGCTCTTTCTTCTGAGCGTCAGAGCCAGGTCACTGTCCCAGCTTGCTAGAGTGGGTCGAGTTATCACTTTGTTCCCAACGCTTCCAAGTTGCTACTTTCTCCCAGTGTAATTTCCTTGGCTGCCCATGTAGACCTCTGTTATACAATATGATAGCCACTAGCCACACGTGGCTACTGAGCACTTACAGTGTGACCAGGTGTGCTGTGACTGTGCAAGACACGCCCGATTATAAGGTGTGGTATGGGGGCTGGCCCGGGAGCACAGCAGTTAAGTTCGCACGTTCCGCTTTGGGCCCTGACCTGTTCGCTGGTTTGGATCCCAGGCATCGACCTGCACACCGCTTGTGAAGCCATGCTCTGGCAGGCATCCCACATATAAAATGAAGGAAGACTGGCATGGATGTTAGCTCAGGGCCAGTCTTTCTCAGCAAAAAGAGGATTGGCAGCTGATGTTAGCTCAGGGCTAGTCTTCCTCAAAATTATTTTTAAGAAAATAATAAAATAAAAAATAAAGGTGTAGTATGAAAGAAAGCATGTAAAATACCTCATTAATCATTTTTAAATATTGATTTCATGTTGAAATGATACTTTTGATATATTCAGTAAAATAAAATCCATTCTTGAAATTAATTTCACTTGCTTCTTTTTACTTTTTCAAAATGTAGCTATTAGGAAATTTAAACTGACCACTGACCTGTGTGGCTCCTGTTAGTGGCTTATATTGTATTTCTGTAGGGCAGCCTTAGACTTTCCAAACCCTCCTTCAGGAAATGGAAGAGGAAAAGCCAAAATGGAGGAAAATGCTGAGCATGTGGTTTAGCATGAGGCGGTGCAAAGCCACCCTGGGTTAAAGTTGCTTTTGTAACATAATGTATTATCAAAGCTTCTTTTCTTTCATGAGAAGACATGATGGGGGGGGGGGGTGGGAGAGGGGAGGCAGTACACATTGTATTTTATAGTTTGATTCATTTTCTTTCCATTTTAACTTTAATTCCGTCTAATTACTGTATTGTGATCTCAGTCAGCAATCTTAAATGAACTCTTAAGTAACTTTTGAAGAATCTTGCTACAAATGTTGGATAATGACGAGATGTAAATTACTGCAGGTTATTGTATAATGTCTACATCCAGCTGAAGCAACCCCTTTCCTGTTATTTTCAAATTTCAGGTCAGCATTTTGGTACTTTTCTGCTTTATTTTTTCCCCTGCAAGGTATTATCACCCACCCACCACCATTGCAGCCCAAAACAAAACAAGCAGAACAAAAGCTTGAGCACGAATTTACAGCTGGTGAAAATACTCTCTACGAAGCAAGAAAGGACTTCCTTCCCAACTCTTTAATTCCTATGATTGACTCACAGCTTTAAAAATTGTGACGTCACACCCTGGTCAAGGAGATTGCAATAAAACCTATTTGCAGGCTTTTAATATTTTAAATATGATTTTAAAATAGTCTATCTTAACATTGTAGAGACAAGAGTTCTAGAAACAAAGTTATAAAACTTAGAAATTACTTTTCATCCTTTGATTTGAAAGAAGAGATTGCTCCAAGACTGTTGTTTTTAATAAATTCAATTTAATAAATTCGGTACAACTGCAACAGGAAAATTCTGCATGCATAGCTACTTGTTACACACACATTGTATTTTTTATATATTTATCTTGAGGGTTCTATAATTAATGAAGAAACAATTCAACAAAAATGTGAGGTGAGTCTATTTTACCAATAAATTAGAAGTATCTTATAGATAATTTTAGGTAAAATTTAAAATTTGTTTTTATCACAAAAGAAACTCTCCTGTTGCTCATTATTAGTTTGTCCATTTACTGTTCTATTTTGGCTAAATTAAATTTAACTAAGGGAAAAAGAAAATGTGGTATAATACCAAGAATGGTCAAGGTTTGGTGGGTAAGCTAATTGAAAAGATTTATTCTTCGTATTAACTCCTTAGAAAATAGCACTCTTGTTATTTGAGGCTTCTGTTCAATTAGTAAGAAAATAATAGAAATATTTTATGCTTTAATCAAACTGCCTGTTTTTTAGGAGTTTCCAAGGGAATAACTGAAATATTGGCGTGTGTCTTGCTGCAGAGCCAGCAGCATCTCATTGGGAACGCAGGTGACCCCGCCACGGTGGATGTGCAGGCTGGCGTGTTATTATTAGGATGACAAGGTCATTTGTTTCTGTGATGACTCATGTTGGCTCTCATTAAACTTGCTGAGATAACTATAAGAAGCAACTGCAAGAATTTAGCCACTTCTCACTGTCAACTCTGCTCTTCTACTTTTTTGGACTCTTCTCAGAGTAAAAGAACCAAAAATGATAAGCAAGCTTTGAGAGGAGAAGCTGGGGCACCTGTCCCCAGCCGGGCAGGAGGAGGTCCCACGTGCCCGCCAAGTTCCCCATGGCTCGTTCTTCTCTTTATTTCGTGTACCTATCTCTTGGCCTCGTTTGCTTCATCATGTTATGAAACTAGACAGACTCTCATTTGCTTTTCTGTGTTTCTTTTTTCCCTAAAGACTATAATGGTTATACACATTCAAATATTCACAGACAGGAGATTCTGGGTAAATAATCTAAGATTAACTAAATTAGGTCAATGTTCATACAGGGCCAGTGTGATATGTCCCTTGTGTGAAATTATCTGGTGTCAGCTACATTGATTGAAAAAGCACTACAGACCGAAAAAAAAAGACTTATTACAAGATGTCTCAAAAGCAGATAAGAAAGCAACGAAACCCTCTCGTAAATGAGGGACCTTATCTAGATTTTAATATGGCGGTAAGCAAATTGTAAATGTTTTTGCAAGTTAGACAACTTGCATAGGAAGGCAGACGTTTGTAAAGTTTCTATAATTCTAAGCCAGTCGCTATAGTTTGCATATCTGTCCATTGCTGGTAGGGTCTTTGTTCTTTTCCTCAAGATACGTTCCATAGAAAGGCTGAAATATTATCAAATTCAGAGCACATCGTCTAGACTGCATTACTTGTTCTGGGATGGATCAAGCCCCATACTGATGCCCGAATATCACTGGGTGAGGGCTCCCTCCTGCTCATCTGTTTATATCAAGCTTCATACACTGTTGCTTTCTCTCTGAAAACTGCTATTAATATCGACGAAATTCTTTGTAATGGGACCAAAATGTCAGTGGTTGGACAAGAAAGTCCTTGAGACTTTCGTCAGAGGTCACTCTGCTGGAGTCAGTGGCATGAGTCAGTTTGTTTTCAAGAGCTGGCTCCATAGCCATCTCGTAGGTGAGTAAAGGCTCCATCTGTCAGATCCTTGAATCGCCATTCTCTTATCGGCGGAAGTTCACAAGTTGTTCTTCCTGTTACCGCTATAATCTATTTATTATCACAAAAGATACTTAATAAGTTGACAATCTAATATAATTAACCGAATGGCTGTTAGTAAATATATTTCAAAAATAGACACAGACTATCTAACGACCAGAGGATGCTGTCCCATTGAACAATTACTATATTTAGAACATACGTCCGAGTGGCAGTAACTGCAATAGCCTTCTCTTCAGGTTTGAGCTGTGTTTCTAATGCAAACGTACTGGCTCAGGCATGCAATAAGCTGTAATGAAATAAAGCTGGGGAGAAAACCCAACAGCCCAGAACTGCCAATTCCTGATTGCGATCTAACAGGAAAGGGAGCACTTTCCACGAGAGCATTGCAGTGGTTCAGATATTGCAGTGAGCAACAGCTGCAGGTCGACAAGAACTCTGGAAAAACAGCTGCAAAACAGAAATAGAAAAGCGAAATAAATCAGAGTTTGGGGTCTGGAATAAAGAATTTTTTAAAATTTAAAATACCAGATTTCACGTGAAAATGAGGGCTGAAAACAGTCCAGTTCTGCTCATGGGTCTGCTGTGGACATCAGGGGCCGACACCCCCTCCCAACACACACACCCCAACAGTGCTCACCCCCACGGTCTGGTTAGCAAGCCCAGCATTTGTGCTTCAGCTGCCAGTGCACTCCTGCTGTTGTGTCCGGCTGGGACAGGTGTGCTGGGGCCACTCGCATCCACAGGAAAATGGAAGTCATCAGCCCCTTCTTACATGAGTCTCAGAACTTCCATTGCACCATCATGATTTGACCTTAGAGTCTGGGGGGTTGTTCACAACATGCCCGTTGTTCAAACCACAGGCACACTTTTCCTTGAAGGGTTAGCTGTCCCCTTGGCACTCTCTTTGGTTTGGCCTTCCTAAGTTTCCCGGCTATTTTCTAACTAGACCCGCATGGGCACCAACACCAGAGCTTGTGGCTGAGAAGCAGGAACACGGCCCTGAGCCCTCATCCACGCCCCTCGGCTCTTCCCGGCACGCCCCGTCTGCTCTGGAAGAAGGGTAAATCCAGCCTCTCTTTCCCGCTGTGCTGGAGGATGCACCTCTGGTGAGCGGTGGGGAGGAAGGAGGAGCAGCCTTCTCATTCACAAGCCAAATTCCCAGGCGCACCTCCTTCCTCCTTGATCTGAGCAGGCCCAGGGTTTATGGCTTTCAAAAACATATTTCGTGTGCTTCTCTCTCGAGGAGGAAAGACGGAGCAAGGGAGGGAAGGGCTCTCGAAACTCATTCCATGGAGGATGTTTCTGAAGATCTGAGGCTTGGTCTTTCATTTCTAGTCTGCAAAAGTTAACAGATGCCTCACTGGGTTTGTGCATAAGCTGCAACAGTAACTTATATTCCTTTTGAGAAGACAATAGGGTAGAGTTTGATTCAATAGATATTTGATAAATATCTATTATATTCCTGGTACTTTGCAAAGTGTGGCATACAAAACTAAAAAAAGATATTGGTTATGATTCATGCTCTCAAGAAATTCTCAACCTTGTGGACAAGAGAGGGAGGAAGCGCTTGAATAGCACACAATTCGTCAATGTCATTCCATGGGGACCCTTGAAGGGTGGGGGCATCTGTGGCTGGTGAGATCACAGCATCCAGGAGTCTCAGTCTTGGAGAAAGAGGAGAGGCAGAGAAAGACATTCTAGGCACGGAACAGCATTTACAAAGGTGCAGAGACATAAAAGAAGAAGTTGTTCTCAGGAAAGTGCAAGCCATTTGCCAAGGGGTATGTCTACAGGAATGCATGCTTTAATAATTCTGGGGTGAGGAGCCATTTGGGGCTGGGGAGTCGAGGAAAGCTCCCAGGGGGAGATGGAATTTGCTTAGGGCCTTAGACAAAGAGCAGACTTGGAGAGCCTGAGCGAAAGTTGCCATCACTTAGCAGAGGTAGATGAGGTGGGGTTTCCACAGGGCGTTTGGGGTGGGGCATCCTTGAGTCTGGATGGAGCAGGAGA